TATGTATATATGTATATATATATGTATATATGTATATATATATGTATATATGTATATATATATGTATATATGTATATATATATGTATATATGTATATATATATGTATATATGTATATATATATATGTATATGAGATTTCCATTTACAAGCTATGCTTCAGGAATTTCCCATTTTCTTTGATCTTTAAAAATGTTGTACATTTATTTTTTTCGTAATTTTTTTATGCTCAAAGGAAATAAATATTTTTGTCATTGTCATTATCAATATATATTTTGTAACATCAAATAGAAGCAATTTACACAATATATATGAAAATATGTGAAGACTAAGTGCCACAAAGGCCGGACTTGTACCGACGCTTTGGAGTGGTAAAGGGGTGGTGGTGGTGGGAACGATTTAATTTTCTTTCCCAAGAGCAGAAGATCCTTCTTTGTTACAGTCCAGCTTCACAGATAAATCTAATTAATATGCAGCGTTCAAGAAATATCGGTCTACCAACCGCAACCAAAACAAAGATATAAACAAGCTTTCGATATCTGCCTATATAAATGTCTCTTCCTTATCGTGCCTCATGAAGAGGTGGTTTTATGTACACAGATACAGAGCAACAAGGAAAACGCTTACACTGTATTGCATGATATTGTCGTTTAATTAATGACGAAAAGTTAAGTTTGAAATACAACAAACAGGTCAGCACTCGACTAAAATAACTTAAATTCTAACCCTACAACAAATTATGCAATTGTTATTTCGACCAGCTGCAACTGGGGTTATCTAAAAAGCGTCACAGCCTACAGGAGTTGCACTGGAATAAAAATACATAAGCATTAAACTTAATAACGAATATATATTTCTTAACATAAAATAGAAACAATTACACAGTATATATGACTATAAGTTAAGACTGGGTTTTACAAATGCCAGACCCATCGTCTGTGATGTGAGCACATAGGAAAGGAGAAGTTACAGTTTCTGTGTGATGTTTTGTACATTATCGGCCTACCTGCTTTACTTTGGTAAGCTCTGTTCTCAATAGCCTACAGAGACCAATTATCCATAAATTGCTAAATAATACTGTAACATACTACAATTT